GGCCTGACTATGAGCATTTAAAGACGTCATTGAGCAATGTCTCCACACGAGTAAGATGAGAAAGGGGAATGTTTCTGAAGCTAATTTACCAAGAAAAAGAAACCCTTTGATTTTTGACTGACACACATCTAATTCTTAAATTACTTAGAAGCTTTACCAACTTGTCAGGTTTTAACTACTGTGAACTGTTCATTCCGGGACATTCCTATGGACGTAGTCTGCTGTGAGGAGAAAGCTTTCTGATAGTTCGCTGTGTTCTCTATACCGCAGCTTACTCATCGGTATTATCAAGCAATATATCTTCAACCTATTAAAAAATATTGACTGACAAAAATAAGAGAAGATATAAAAAGGAGTGGGTATGGGCTTTTAAAGAGTAGGTTATAATTTTAAATACCAAAGGAAGTTTCCTTTTTCTTGGACTGTGAGAACCTGAAAACATTTGTCTGTTCATGAAAATAGAAAAGAAAAATACTGTTATGTATACTCTCGAATTTAAAATTTAAAAACATAAAGTGGAAGGTTAGGCAAACATGGGCCCCAGTGATGCCAGCAGGTACCAAGTACCATTACAGATGCTGGGCCATCTTTTCAGTCAGTACTAACTGATTTTTATTAGTTTTGTGGCACCCCTGTGTTGGCTTCCATTGTGGGATCTACCAAATATGTTTGGGGAATGAGCAACTAGAAATTTGTATGACCTAAGCAACTTCTTAATGGAAGACAGACATTGCTGTAGGTGACAGAGATTCTTCACACAATTTAATTATTTACTCAAGTCTGTCCTTACTACAGAGAAGGGACTCAAGGTGGCTGACTTAAGGTCACACAATACACAGCTCCAAGGTTCACATAATGCCAAACCACATGCAAATGTCAACACACACACCAAAGTACACACTCCTGAAAAAAGAAAGTTGGAAATTAAACTGTATACCCATTCATTCTAAACAAGAAAATTCTGGCTAATGAAATTTGAAGTACTTCAAAAAATTACATCAGAAAATTTACAGGACTTGCTCTGGGATCCAACATTTCTTAACTGCTCTACCAGCCAAGAGAACTTTCCACAAAACTACAGCCTTCCTAAACTCTAAACTGGTGGGTCATCTTGGAGCTGACCAATTTCAACTTCCAGATTGCTGTTTTCTCTTGATAGCCTTCCATTCCAGCAGTAAGCAACTGATTCAGCTCAAGAAATCTAAAGGGGGGGGGGGGCTGGAGAGATGGCTCAGTGGTTAAGAGCATTGCCTGCTCTTCCAAAGGTCCTGAGTACAATTCCCAGCAACCAAATGGTGGCTCACAACCATCTGTAATGGGGTCTGGTGCCCTCTTCTGGCCTGCAGGCATACATACAGATAGACTATTGTATACATAACAAATAAATAAATAAATATTTAAAAAAAAAGAAATCTAAAGGGTCACAGCCCAAGGAATATAGATACGAAATAACAGCAAATCCAGGCTAAACCCAAGACTACTATCCAAGGATGCATTTCCTACAAGTAGTGGTGGTGTTTGGAAACACAATCGGATCTCAGCCCAAGTCCCTCAGCCTGTTACTACTAACCCACCAGAGCCACTTATATGACTAGGAAAAGACATCTGAACTACTAGAAAACTACTGAGGATAAATTTAGTGAAGATAAATACGCAATCTCAGACTCGGTCACAAGCATTAAGACAATGAAATGGCCAGGTGTTTTCAATGAGCGCCACTATGCAGTGCTGTCAGGTACCTTGTGATTGCATAGCACCTTGGCTGTGAAAAAAAACCATGCAACTAATCATCGCAGCTTAAAAAAAAAAAAAATCAGAACAAAACCTTAAGTTACAAGCAGGTGGAGGAACTTCCATAAAGACTATTTGAAGGCTTTTATAAATTACCAGTACCAAGAAATTATTTCCTTTGTAAATGACAAATATTAAATATCCTTTCTCCCAAAATGTGTTTTTGTTTGCTTGTGCTGAAACACTAATCCCAAGTGAAAGCATGAGCTCCAAAATAAAGACCCATTTATCTGTCAAGGTCCACAGTCCAGTGTTTAAGAGCATCCAGGTAACAAGAGGGAGGCGGGAGAGTGGAGAGCAAAGTATGAGACATGTGAAAATGAAATAATAAAATCAATTAGTTGCATATTAACTTTTTAAAAATTAAATAGCTAGAAATACTATATATCATTTAAAGAGATGTTCACAATCAGTAAAGAAGTAGTGCCTCTGTCAGACCCAGGAGGGGCGGGGCAGTGTGGAGACAGATGCACCTGTGTGCTGGGTGGGAGACCACCTTTGGGTCAACGGTCCGGAACAGACTCCCTGAGCTACCCTGCTCCTGAAGGCTGGGATTTTTGCCACCTCTTCCCAAGCAGTTGGGAAGCACACAGGGCAATCCCCGTGAGTTCTACATCTCTTGGCAAAAACCCTTAACACTGAAAGGTGTGCGGGCATGGAGGCCGCCTTTTGGAGTAGCTGAGCTTCTCGTGGAAGCCAGCAGGAGCTCAGTGTCCCTGCTTGTGACGCTAGTCTTGAATGTTCCCATAAACAAACTGTGGTTCCTAAGATACTCAATCAGGATGAAGACAGCATTCTAGAATAAGTCTCCTGAACTCCCAATACCTGGGTTGCTGAATCTGTTTATCCCAACTGACTGTAAGACAAGAACAGGTTTCTTATACTTAAAATTGAAAAATATTATCTACTTCCAAAAGCCTGGCTTATTTCAAAATATTGTAGAATGTAATTTTGCTTTTATCAAAAATTTTTAACACTTTAAAAGAGGCTGTCTCAAAATAAAACAAAAATTCCTTAATAAGCTCTACAATAATGTCCAAAGCATGATGTTAAGTGATGGCTGTTCCTGAGTGGTCAATGAAAATGCAACTTTAATTGAAATGAATTAACTCTAGCGTCTTAATTGTTTGACACATATCAAGAAAACACGTCCCCCAAAGAATCTTGAAAGTTGGGGAAACTGATGTGCCCTAGCTGATTTCTGTTTGCTTTCTTTATAAAAACAGAAAAAGTAAGAGATTCTACACGGTATGGAGAAGTTTAACTAGCCTTCCAGGCAAATACTGAAAACCCAACCTGGCCATTGCATGAGCACAAGAAGGTCATCTGCCCAGCTCTGCGCAGCTCTGCCCAGCTCTGCCCAGCTCTGCGCAGCTCTGCCCAGCTCTGCCCAGCTCTGCCCAGCTCTCCCAGCTCTCCCAGCACCAGCAGACAGCATCCCCTGAGCCTCTGCACTTGCTCAGAAATGCGCTTCACAGGGGCTACTTCAGCCATTCCTCTCGAGCTGCCCTTCAGAGGCAAACAACAGCACACAGCACAGACAGCCTTTGGTTTAGTCTGGCTTTTAAGATTTACTGACCCTTTGCTCCTCAAGGTGTTTCCCTACCTTTTATTTATTTATTGGTAAAATGTATAGAGGCTTTTAAAAGCTTATTTTTAATTTAAATACTTTATGCTTTGCTCTCAGTTTGCTGCATTAGCAAATTCATCAAGGAAAATCAATTCAGCATAAATTTAAGATAAGAATTGTATTAGTACTTTTCATCATTGGTGTATATAATACATATTTAATTAATACTTTCCCCTTTAGAGTATATAATATGTATTGAATTGGGGTTTTCATCACAGATTATATAATATTTTGCCAAATAATAAAATTTTAGCAGACTATTCTACACAGAATAGCTTAATATGTATGTAGAAAAATATACATGTTTCCAAAACAAAATTAAATAATTTTTTTGTATTTTGATTGTCACATTCCTCTAATAATTTAGGAACAAATTAATCTATTTTTCTGATTTGTAATTTCTTAAAGTACAGCAACTTCTTATTAGCCAGGCACTAAAACTTTAGAGTAATTGGAAATAGGAGAAATTGAGCTGGGCAGTGGTGGTGCAGGCATTTAATCCCAGCACTCCAGAGGCAGAGGCAAGAGGATCTCTGTGAGTTCGAGGCCAACCTGGTCTACAAGAGCTAGTTCTAGGACAGGCTCCAAAGCTATAGAGAAACCCTGTCTTGAAAAAAAACAAAAATAAATGGGGGGGGGGGAAGGAAAGAGAGAGGGGAAAAGAAAAAGAAAAAGGAAAGGAAAGGAAATGAAGAAACTAGGAGAAATCTCAGATTCTGACGTTTTGTACTATGTGGTCTGTTCCAGTGAAATGGCAGGTGAGCGTTTGGGAGAGACAGAGGGCAAGTGTGACTTTGTGGGGTTGATTGTGTTTTGCTTTTGTTTTTGCTAAGAATTTTTTAGATCACCCGTTTTACAAAAATCACAGATACAATTAAAATTCTTATGATGATGGAAATTTTCAATTCTTTATTATATTAATTTCATACTCTTTTCTCATGAGAAGGAAAAATACTGCTCTAAATCAAAAGCAAAATGCTGTCTGTTCAAAATGGGAATAATAAAACCCCAAGGAGAGCCAAAGGGCATGCGCCCATTCTCAGGTCTGGCTCAATCCATTTCCATCTAAAAGTAAAGAAGGCCAGACACAGCTTACACTGAAGACGGCAAAAAACCAGTCTTGCCAAACGCCTTTATAGAAACGCAACCTCTCGCCAGCGCCTTTCCTAAACCAGAACGCTCTGCCTGTAAGAGGACAGAAATTGTTACCAGGTTTTTGCTTTGTTTTGGTTTGGGATTTTGTTTTGCTTTTTGTTTGTTTGTTTTGTTTTGGCCACTAAAGAAACTATTTAAAAAGTTTTAGCTTTTCAAATGCCTAAAAGGCTACCACTAAACATGTCAGAATCATCTTTTCAAGATACCAGAAAAGTGAAACCCTCCGTCTGTGCTCAGGTGAACACTGCCGCCCCGACGGGAAGCAGTTCCCAGTACAGAGGCCGACATGCAATCACATCTTGTCCCAATCCCACTGCCTGCCAGAAGAAAACAGGCAGCTGACCAATTATGGGTGTTGATCTATACAGGGCCCCTTTGTTCTCCAACAATGTCAGGGTGCACACGTCCGGGGACACATATTTACCTGGAGGATTCTTGGCAGGATCATTGTGGCTTGGACTTCCTGATTGTCCAGAATCTGTAAAGAAATCACAGAATATGTTTTCTTTTTAATTTGTTTTGAAAGAATTTCACAATACTGAGAAGGACTTTTTAAAAAAAAAAAAAATTAAGGTACAACAATGAGGTGAAGTGTTTAAATAAAGCATACTTTCCCAAGCTTTTCCTAACAACATTTTATTCATCAAGCTAGATAGAAGCCTATACACATTTCTTCGTCAAAGGGAACAATTACTCATCTATAATGGGCTGGGGTGGAGAAAGGTTTTCCTGAAATGAGAGGTCTGGCTGCAAAGCCACTGAAACCATCTGAAGGTTAGGCAAATATCAAGGCCGGATAGTAGGAATCTGAAATAAAGCAGATACTGTCCCTTAAAAGACACAATCTAAATATAATTAAGAACACTGTTAAAAACCTGAAAAATCTGCTTTGCTTCAGAGAGTAAAAATACACAAAACAAGAGGCTTCTCTTCCAAGGCTTTCTCACGACCGTTCACATCTCCTCTCCAGTAATCCCCCCAACCTACTGGATCCCAGCCCAGTTCTGTCTGCATCCCATAATAGCAATCGATTTGCAAACACCAGGAAAAGCATAAATTACTAGGTGGAAAACCGACATGGCTTTGTGGAGAGCAAATTGTTGGATCAATTTAATCTCCATCTGCGAGATACAGACAGATTCCTAGATAAGGAGGAAGTGGCCGCCACACTCATTCGGATCACGCAGTCCACGCCATTCCTCACCAACCCCACAGAATGAGCTCAGAGGACTGGCACCGTCCGCCAGGATGCCTGTCCCCACCAATCCACACTGCTGTCTTTGGCTCGCTCCTCTGCCTCCCTGGACAATCCACATTTATCTGCGTCATCTGCCCTGGGTTCTTACACACTTACTGGTGGGAGTTGCTTTGAAATCTTTTCAGTGTGGTTTTGTCTCCACAGCCCACTGCACCAGGAAGAAAGGGGCATATAGCCCCTTTGTCTTCCCGGGGCTGTTCATGGAGTAAACATGCTAGGCGTGCAGGGTATGCCAGAGGGATGGATGGCTCAAATTCAACAGCCTTCTCTGCTTGCCTACAAAAAGGAAATTTCGGGCACAATAGTGAATTTTACCAAAACGTGGTACGGGCAATGTCACCACTGCCATAAACCCACAAATCTCTCCCTCAAAACCTTGCCCTTACCCTCAAGGCAGCGAAGGGACTGAATTAAGAATTAAATCGGACTGCTTTTCTTTTTAACAAGGTTATTTGGTTATGTCAGGTCAGTGATTAAAATACTGCAATTGTTCTTCAATTCTTGAGCATAGGGGCACGCTGTTAGTCTATTCCTGTAGGAAACCGGGTTGTTTATTCCTGCCCTTTGCCTCCTGCTAGCTGGGTCAGGGTTAACGGTGAAGAATGTAATCCCTCCATTTCCTTAACTTTTTTTCTTTACTCTAGAGTATATTTCACGAAATCCTAGCAAACTTATATTTGTGGTTCCCACAGTGTCCTTCACCTTGCTCCTGATTTCCCAAAATGGAGGGAAAGAAAATGGAAAATTATCTGACTGTATTAGAGAGTGTCCCCTGCAGCCAGAGGCCAGGACTCCTCTCTAGAACCCAGCTCTGGAGCTGATGCAAGGCTGGCTGACCCATAACTTAACAGAAGGATCTTTTTCTTTGTTCCTTTAAAGAGAATGCAGTCCCCACCACTTTTGAAGCCTAGAGTGAAACAGCTCCAGTACAATGTTAAATGGCTTCATTCTGTTACAGCCTCCACTGCCTCTGCTCTGGGTTCCATTTAGGTGGCCTTACCCTTACTTTTCAAGGACATCCAGCCTGTTGAGATTCCTATTTACCGGGTCAGGGTCATGGACCAGACCCTCCACAGTTTTTCTCTTTCCTCCCTGGAGCTACTACTTCGCATGTCCACAACTCTAGGATAAGCGCATCTAGAACCAGCAATTCAGAAGGCTGCAAGGATCAGGAGCAGGTAAACGGCACAGCAGCCCCACTCCAGGAGCTGTGGGCTTTAAACCTGAGCCTTCTGGAAGGCTGCCTGCAGTGACTGCAAGATGGCCCCCATGTCCTCCCTCACCTCTGCTGCTACACCTGTGCCGTGTCTCCCCTGAGAACCAGCTAGCCAGAGAGCAGCCCTTACTTTCACCGTGTCCCACAACCCACTGGGGCAGCCTTTCTTGCCCTGCTCCTCCGGTCTTATCTGTGTTAAAGGTTACACTCTCTTCTACTTTCCAACAACTGCAGACCAACGTCTTTAGAACAGAAACAAACAAAACAAAACAAAAGAACAACAACAACAAAAACTATTCACTAAAAACAAACATGCATTCACTAAGAACACTGTAAGAGTTTGGGAGAAAGCTAAATAACCTTGCCACAGGCTTGCTGTCTACAATGACCTGGTGTTTACTGGCCCCACCCCCCAGTAACAGGTTATCCTTCCTACTGCAAAACCTCTACCTTCTCATGAAGCAAAAGAGCAAATACTGTGCTCCCAAAACACGGACGAGGGCTGCCGAGAAGGCAGGTGACACATTGACTTCTCATGCTATGAATTCTAACACTGCAATCTACTCAGATGTCACCTTAGATCAGTCACTTAATTCCAAGTGCTGGAGAAGGAAATAACCAGGGAGCCATAGTTGGCAGAGAACCCAAGAATGAACTGTTATTGTGGCTGACTTCAGAGAAGGAATTTTTCAGACCACATCTAAAAGCCCCGCAAATCACCACCCAGGTCAAATTACTCAGACTCGAAGGTTTCATTAACCACTTCCATCACTCTGTTCAAATCTCTTCCCTGCGATGTGTGTGTAGGGGAGGGCGGCAATATACTGAATACTGGCTCTGTCCCCTCTAATGTGGTCTTGTACAAAAATCGGTTAGCTTTTAGAATCTTGCACCTTTGTCATGAAAATGCAATAATACAATCTACCTTGGAATCTCTGCAAGGAGATCAAGCATTGAGTCCTGGATCAAGTACATCCTACACCATCAATTCACAAGAGATATTATTAACAACATAAACACATTAAAACGCTTACGATTTTTAATGGACTAACTCTCAGGAAGGAAGAGAGAAAAGGAAGAAGCTAAATTGTGTCCATAATGGTGCGAGTACCTAGGAATATCTATGCTGGGTCTGTGAACCCGACCCCAGAGTCTATTATGTCATAATGTCATGTCAATGCCTCAGTCCCAGGCCCCTGCAGCAGGAGGTGACGCAGCCCTGCCCTAAGCTCTCCAGAGATCCCATGCTCAAAATGGAGAGACAAGCAGCTGATGCAATCACCTTCCTGGAGGCTGAAGCCTTTAAGGGGCGAGGCTGGCAGGAATAGGTTTAGGAGCCGCCCAGCACACTGTTTGGAGTCCAGGAAAGGCGAAAATGGGCAGACCTAGGGGGTACCTGCCTTCTCCCCACCTTTTGTTCACCAGTTCTTCACCTGGATCTCTATTGTTCACATTTCTTCTTCTTTGGGTTTAACTCCACATAATTGAGTTGTATTACTTTTCAAAGGCAAAACTGGCTTTGTATTACTTCCTTCTAAAGATCTCTAGGATTCTTCAAGATGGACCTCACACTGCAGCTGCAAGAACTCTTCCGCCTCAGCCTCCCTGGTGACTGGGGTCACAAGCGTGAACATCCCACCACACTCTCTACTCACAAGTATGGATTTAAACATCTAACTCAGTCTTTGGGAAGAAGAAAACTGAGTGATGAAATCTCTAAATTGTGATTTTTTTTTCCCATGGCCACTACTATCCCCTGGGTTAAGGACAGGCACTCCTGCATGGCCTCCACAGCCGTGACCCAGTGTCTTTACTCCTCTTCGGGAGGCAGCCCATCTAGTCCTGCTCTTCCAACCTGACTTCACCCTAGAACACTGCTCTTCAGGGCCTATGCAAATGACTGTCTGTGTGCTCCTGTTCAGACACCCTCGTTTCTTACTGTGTGATGTTGGAATCACACACAGCCAAGTGACCCTGCAGCAGATTAAATGTTTCTAAGAACCTGACCTGACCTTCCCCAACTTCCCCTCACTGCCATTTTTCAGCACATCCCAAGTGCTGAATTCAGAAAAGTCGAGACAAAAGCATGTTTTTGATACCTATTGGAATACATTGTTACTCTCAGCTGAGTCTTCTTCACTGAGGGTGTGCTAAAGAGAGGTGGTTCTGACTCAAATTACCGTCCATCCTCCCCACTAAATAACAAAACTGCTTTTTAAAAAGATAATCTGGTCAAAGTTCAATAAAGTTTGTATAGATGGTGATAGTAAAGAATATCCTGTGAAATGGTTGTCACCAAGCAGTAACTTGCTGACATGACTGACTGCTACACTCTGAGGTAAGTTAGTGGGAAGATCAGAACTGAGTTGCTAAGGATCATAATGATTAAATGGCAATCAGTAAGGATCCTGGCGCCTTCCTATCAGAAGCTCACAGGGTTTGGCACACAGTCACACTTTATATACTTTTATTCGGTTTATAATGATCTACAAATATTCATCCATTTATTCATTTATTTACTGTTGTGCACATGACCTCAAATTACATGATACACATGTGGAGGTCAGAGGATATCTTTTGTAGAGTCAGGTTTTCTCCTTCCACTTCTTATACGAGTTCCAGAGATTGAACTCAGCTCACCAGGTATTTTTATCCAATGAGCCATCTTGCTGACCCTAAATACTAAACTTGTTTTTTTTTCTTTTTTATTTAAATACTACATATCATATTTTTTTTTTCTTGAAGCTCAGAAGTGACCCAGAGTGCTAGGAATGCACAAATTAAAAGCTTGGAGATGGAGGAATGGGAAAAGGCAGATGGGGACCATCAGGTCACAGTTACAGAAGAAATGGCAGGGCTCCTGGAGGAATGGTGACAGACCACTTAAAAAGCAGAAGGAAGAGCTGTGCATGTTCCCACCATAAATAAATGCAAACCAGGAAAGGGGCATGTCAAAACTGATTCAAATGTTACAAAATGCATACATGTGGAAACATAGTCACGA